AATGCACCTTCAATAGGATAAAAGCAAAACCCATTTGATCATCTCAACAGAGGTAGAGAAAGCATTTGACAAAATCCAACACCTTTTCATGATGAAAACACTAACAAAGCTATGAAAAGGAACTTCCTCAAATTGGTAACAGGCATCTATAAAAAATCCAGAGCTAGCATTATACTCAATCATGAAAAATACATGCTTTCCTACTAAAATCAAGAAGAATGCAAGGATGTCTACTCCTGACACTTCTACCCAACACTGCAGTGGAGGAACTGGTCAGGGCAATTAGGCAATCAATCAATCAATCAATCAATGGCATCCAGATCAGGCAGAAAGAAATACAATCATGACTACTTGCAGATGACATGATCTTATATAAAAAGAAATCTAAGAAATCTAATAAAAAAACAACCATTAGAATTAACAAGTTCAGCAAGGGTGCAGCATGCAAGATCAATATTTTAAAAATTATTTTTATATACTTACAATAAATAATCCAAAATAACTTAAGAAAACAATAAAATACTGGGAATAAATTTAACCAAAGTGCAAAACTTACACTTTGAAAACTACAAACTATTATTAAAAGAAACAAAGGTCTAAATAACTAAAAAGACACTCTACGTTCATGAATAGGAAGAAAACATTGTTAATTAAGATGGCAGTACTCTCCAAATTAATCAGATTCAGTACAATTGCTATGAGAATCCCAGCTAGAGATATTTGCAAAACCTTTGTAGAAACTGGCAAATTTATCCTAAAGGTCATACAGACATTCAGAATAGTCAAAATAATATTGAAAAAGAACATAGCTGGAAGACACATACTCGTGATTTTAAAACGTCACACAAGGCCAAAAAAATTAAAAATAAAACCCACTTCATACAAGGCAATGGTAAGCTAAATAATGTGGTACTAGCTAAGGGCATCAATGTAATACAACTCAAGAGTCCAGAAACAAACCCATATATCTATGGTAAATTGATTTTCAAAAGAGTACCAAGAATATTTAATGTGAAAGGAATAGCTTCTTCAACTTAAGAACTGGACAACTGAGTTGTTACATGCAAATAAAGGAAGTCGAACCCTTACATCCTACCACAAATAAAAATCAACTTAAAAGTGGATTAATGAGTGCACCTGGGTGGCTTAGCAGGTTATGCAGCCGACTCTTAGTTTCTGCTCAGGTCATGATCTCATGGGGTTCCACACTCAGTGTGGAGTCTGCTTGAGATTCTCCCTCTCCCTCTTTCTCTGCCCCCTCCCTGCTTGTGCACATGCACATGCACACTCTTTCTCAAAATAAATAAATCTTTAAAATGGATTAATGATCTAAATGTAAGAGGTAAAACATGAAAGTCTTAGGAGAAAACATGGGGCTAAATTTTTGTGACCCTGGATTGAGCACTAGATTCTTAGACACAGCTCCAAAAGCATAAGCAACAACAACAAAATAGATAAATTGAATATCAGAAGACAATATCAAGAAAATAAAAAGATAATCTACACAATGGGAGAAAACATTTGCAAATCATATATAAGAATCTAACATCTAGAATATACAAATAGCTCTTACAACTTAAAAGACAACTCAATTAAAAAGGAGCAAAAGACTTAAATAGACATTCCTCTAAAGAGATATACAAATAGCTAATACAACATATGAAAATATGCTCAACATGATTAGTCACGAGTGAAGTGCAAATCAAATCACAATGAGATATCACGTCACCCCTGCCAGAATGACTGTGCATAGGGCAAATAATAAGTATTGGTGCAATGTGAAGAAACTGAAACTCTCATGCATTGTCAGTGGGAAAATAAAATGGTGCTATCACTGTGGGAAGCAGGTCAGTAGATCCTCAAAAATCTAAACATGCAATTATTATATGGTCCAGCGATTCCACTCATATGTATATACCTAAAACAACTGAAAACAGGGACTCACACAGATATTAGTACAACTTTAGTTACAGCATTCACAGTAGCCACAAGGTGGAAACAACCCAAGTGTCCTCAATCTAAATGAATGGATAAACAAAATGTGGTATCTACATGCACTAGACTATGATCTGGTCATAAAAAGAAATGAAATTCTGATACATGCCAGAAGATGGAGGAAGCAGAAAACATTATATTAAGGGAAAGAAACCAGTCACAAAAGAGCACATACTAGATGATTCTATTTATTTGAAATGCCCAGAATAGGCAAATCCATAGAGACAGAAAGTCACTTAGTAGTCGGTCAGGATGGGGGTAATCTGAGGTTGATGCACAGGGTCTCCTTACACAGGGGACAGTGTTTCTTTTGAGGTGATGAATATGTTCTAGAATTGCTGATGGTTGCACAACTCTGTGAATATACTAATACAGACTAATATAACTGACCTTTAAAACAAAAACCAAACCTCTCCCTTGAATCCATATGCCCTGCCAAAAATAGCCCCAGTCAATTTCCTTCTATCTCACAGCCTCCTCCTAGATCTAAAGAATCTTTTAAAAGAGTTGTTTGGGGCACCTGGGTGGCTCAGTCGTTAAGCGTCTGCCTTCAGCTCAGGTCATGATCCCAGGGTCCCGGGATTGAGCCCTGCATTGGGCTCCCTGCTCCTCGGGAAGCCTGCTTCTCCCTCTCCCACTCCCCCTGCTTGTGTTCCTCTCTCGCTGTGTCTCTCTCTGTCAAATAAATAAATAAAATATTTAAAAAAAAAAAAAGTTGTTTATTCTCATTATTGTCACTTTCTTGTCACACTGTAACTCAGCTCTATTTGCCTGCAGGAGTAAATACTACATCCTTCAATATTTACTGTGACTAAGTCATAAAAATAAGTGCAAGCAACTGAATAAATTCTGACAGCCTACTGGGTACTAGAAGATCAAACAGGACAAGATATCTACCCTTTTCTCAAGGGGGAAATACAAGGTGAACAGAGAAGAAGCACATTAGTCTAAAGATTAAAATGAGCCAGAGAATATCGGCTTCATATTGGGTTATCTAAAAGAGGTGTTCTCAGCAAGTGAGGTTTAAGATTTTTTTAAAGTAGGCTCCATGCCCAGCATGGAGCCCAATGCAGGAGTTTGAACCTCACAACCCCGAGATCAAGACCTGTGCTGAAATCATAGTTATTATTTATTTCAAGGTAGAGTTTAGTGATTCATCAGTTGCATATAACAACCAGTGCTCATTACATCAAGTGCCCTCCTTAATACCCATCACCCAATTACCCTGTCCCACCCACCCATGTCCCCTCCAGCAACCCTCAGTTTGTTCCCTATAGTTAAGAGTCTCTTATGGTTTGCCTCTGTTTTTATTTTTATTTTTCCTTCCTTTCCCCTATGTTCATCTGTTTTGTTTCTTAAATTCCACATGAGTGAAATCATATGCTATTTGTCCTTCTCTGATTTCACTTAGTATAATACACTCTAGTCCCAGCCACGTCATTGTAAATGGCAAGATTTCATTCTTTTGATGGCTGAGTAGTATTCAATTGTATATATACACACATCTTTATCCATTCATCTGCCAATGGAAATCTGGGCTCTTTCCATATTTTGGCAGTTGTGAACATTGCTGCTATAAACATCGGGGTGCATGTCCCCCTTCAAATCACTATGTTTGTATTCTTTGGATAAATACCTAGTGGTGCAATTGCTGGGTCATAGGAGAGCTCTATTTTTAACTTTTTGAAGAACCTCCATACTGTTTTCAGAGTGGCTGCACCAGCTTGCATTCCCACAAGCAGTGTTAGAGGGTTCCCCTTTTTATGCATCCTCACCAACGTCTATTGTTTCCTGAACTAATTTTAGCATTCTGACCAGTGTGGGGTGGTATCTCATTGTGGTTTTGATTTGTATTTCCCTGATGATGAGTGATGAGCATTTTTTCATGTGTATCTTAGTCATTTGTAGGTCTTTTTTGGAGAAATGTCTAATACCAAGGATCCAGACATATAAAGATAAACGATAAGGCAGGCAGAGGGAAAAGCAAGTGTAATGATACGTTTGAGGTCCAGTAACTGACCAGAGGCTAGGTGAGGTCCCAGAGGTAATGAGAGGCTGGTTAGCGGTAGACCTTTAAGACTTTTTATAAGGCAGGGTGAGAAGTTGCAACTTGCTTCTTCTCCATCTCATTATACTCTGTGCACATCTGTCCTATTACACTTGTATCTGTGTCCCCACCTTACACTTGTGCCTGCCCTAAGGAAAATGAAAGTTTTTGTTCACCTCTAACAACTGCCAACCAGGATCTGATCAGACATTTCCTGAATGAACAGGTCACATCATCATGCTGTGATAAGACAAAAATCCTAAGTCCTGAGGAAGGAAAAAACATCTTTTCTAAGGGCAGTATACAAATGAAAGCCAGGAAATTTTCACTCAAATTCCTCAGCCTAGCCTAGTTATTTCTACCAGAGACTGTGATGTTTCCCAAGTTTCAATCAGTTAAAAAGAACATCTTCCAAACTTAATTAAACTCATTCCCAGACTTTGAAACCGAAAACTGCCAGCAAAGAACAGTTTTAGCTCCTGATTACTGTGCGGTTGTCATTAATTGGTTCTCTAACTCAAGTCTATTCCCTAAGTATTCTAAGACACTGTGCAAAACTGTATCCACCTCAACATCATCAGTGTTACATAGTCATTAGTAATACGCGGAAATGGAAAGCTATTAGGTTATAGTTTTTTTTGTCTAGAAACTGAAATAGGATCTAGCACCACCTTTTAAATAATATATGATTACACATGCTTTCCTTTTAAATGGCTTATAAACACTGACTGGCCAAATAACTAGCTTCTCCTTTGCAGGTTAGATTTTCTGTTTGTACTACACAGGGATTCTGCTACAGTTCTAATTATAGCATCCTTATCTAGAAAGGCACACAATGATTCTCAACAGTTGAAACAAAGCTAACCAAGAACCTTTTGGAGTATAAAACCACACAATGCTGCAAATAAATAAACCATGTTTCTTTGGAAGGGGAAATTTTTTTTTTCAGCTGGCTTACTGTGGCCTTGAGGCTTCAGCCTGGTCTGTCTGAAGTTTTTCTCCTCCTTCCACTTCCATTGTACAGTAAACAATTCGATTGGGAGCAACGGACTTCAAACCTTGCACTTCCATTATGACAATCTAAAGATAAAAAAAAATTTTTAAATGATACATCAAGTTGGTAGCCTTTAACAAGACACAGAGATAGCAGCATTGATTACAAGTAGAATGACCAACTGATAAAATTATCTGGTAACACCAATGGTATTTTATCTTCCTTAGAATCCACCTGTATTCATGGAAGGTATAGTAAGTAACATTCTAAGGAAGTCTAGTATTGAAGAAATATCTCCTGCAGCTTATTAAAGTAAGGTTAAGATCTCTAAATATAAGCCTGACTGAGTTAAGTGAGGTATAAACTCAGATCCTTAAAACATGATGGCAAGTCTGCATGAGGTAAAGTGGAATTACCCATGAAAATTCAGTGAGTGTGCTAAAAGCAAGTACATGGTGAGTTCCACATAAAGTGAAATACTATTTATGAGTGGTGCACATCATCACCATCCCAATTTGTGGTTATCAGTATGTGACATCATCAGGTCTTTCTATATTCACTTATTTTAGAGGACTATTAATATTTATAAAAGAATATTCATTATAGAAAATGTATATCTTATTACGAAGTATGGAAAATATAACTTGCTGATGACTATCTTACTACTAACTTGGCAAGGAAAAAAAGGACTTTTCCACTAAAGGTATGTGCTAATTTAATGCAGCACACTGGGAATGGGTAGAAAGACTGATACTGTATTACGCATCTATAACTCCTAGAAAAAAGAGAAACAAATATTTTTCAAGTGGGCTTTTTAATGTTCATATAAAAGGCTACTGATCTTAAAATACTGTAACCTAACATTTTCACTGGGTGTGCACATAAAATATAAATATTACTGAGTATTTTTGCTATAGTTTTTTTTCAATCAAAACTTGCATCCTGAAGTTTCCTAAGTTCTTGAAGCTCATAAAATATATTCAATGGCATTTTTATAACATGCACATTTATGTCTTTATTGATCTCATGTTTTATTTGTACAAACAAGATTAACAGCATTCATGCCATGTAGCTGCCAAAATATCCACTAAAAACATCATGTATTGATCATTTAATACATTATTAAAGTCATTCCACTTCTCATTGAGTTGTGATATGAATCTTGAGGCAAAAGTTCTCAAAGAAACCATCTTAAAAAAAACTATTCTTCCTTTCACTCTTCAGCACAACAGAAGGGTTATGTTCATAAATATAAACGCCTTTTTTTTCCCCATGAAAATAATGGGAAACTAATCACTAAAAAAGAAAGGTCAAACTCAGAACCATTTTCCTTTCTCAACCAAGACTTTTGTCATTTTATCACACAGAAGTTCATACCAACACATGAATAAAAATAAGGGCATAACAGAAAACAGACTAAGAACTGATAGAGACCAGTAACACCTTTCCTAGCTGCTGTAAGACATTCAAGGAAGTTAGAACAAAGCACTTCATCTTGTTGATGGAAAGTAAGCAAAAGGAGGCATATATTCTTAATAAATCAACGTCATTGTTAATCATTTTGAAATTCATTAGATCCTTATACAAATAAAACTAAGTAGAAGCTGAGACAAATGAACTATATAACTGTATCAATCAAAAAGATTCCACAGGGACTTACCAACATGACCGAAATGGCTTCTTAATAAAATTTTTGGAAGGTCACTTAAAATACAGGAAGCAAGAGAATTGTGTACACATAATGTAGAAATCTTTTAGTTCATATTTGGAAATACGCTTATTTGCCCTGCATCTCTTTCTCGAGTGTGTTCAACAGAGCGCAAGAGAGAAGAAAGGAAGCACCTGCTTAGCACTATGTCTGTCACCTCTCCTACAAGCTACTGTAAACAGGACCTCCTGAAACACACAATTTGTGAAACCACTTCCCACTCCACAAAACAGTACTCCCATCTGTGCCGGGAATATTTTCTTCGGCAGAACTGCCACTTTCAAAAGAAGTAACTTCTGTTCTGAGTCCATACATATAAATAAAACAACACAATTCTACAGATCTGATTTCCAAAAGGAATAAAAAAAAATGCAACTGGTCTCAATCTTTAATGATAAAGACAGCCACGAATTCCGTGGACCATCAACTGACCTAATTTCAGGTAACTGTTTCGACCAGTTCCCCACAAAACTTAGTAAGAGAACCATGGAAAATGAATATAGTCTCAATTCCATCCCCATTTCCCCAATCTCTCTGTGATTGATAGAATAAAGATAATATATACAGAATTATTCTAGAGGCAAAAAGAAGGCAGTCATGTACAAAATACAAAGCTTGGTAACATGCTTCTGAATAATGCACTGTCCAGAGAGTTATGTGGTGCTGAGTCACGTGCAGGTTTGAGAAAATGAAGCTGAGCAGTATTTGGGGACCATATACTACCAGATAAAGAAGCCGTCACAGGGTCTGCCAACCTAATACCAATGAAAACTGTGAAAATCATCTGTACTCATACCAGTGACACCATTTATCTTCCAACACGCAGACTCAACTTCGTAGATTAACCTGGGCTGTCTTCCCCTTACTCAATATTTAACATACCACGGGATGGCTCACGGTTTTGTGGGTTAGCTTCGCTCTTGCTTTATTATTGTCTCTGAAGGTTTCAGGAATGAAGCGATCTAAAAGTAATCTTGTTGTGGCTAACTGCTGCCTTTTTCTTTCTTTCTTTTTTTTTTAACTGCTTCTTTTTGATACCATCAAAGTCCCCAGTTCAATCAGTATTTATCAAGTCAACTGTGTGCCAGGTAGTGTTTTAGGCTTTTGTGATACCTCAAGGAAAACAAGACCTTAACTTCCTGTAGCTTACATTTTAGTAGAATCAGGCAAATAATGAATAATAAAAATAACTGAATTATAAGTTAGGTGGTAAGAGCTGTGACAAAAATTCAAGTTGGCAAGAGAACAGGGTGTGGGGAGAGAAGAGAGCAGTCAGTAGCAATTTTAAAGAGGTGATAAAATTTAAACAGTTTTTCAAATCTGCACTTATTCTCTAGACTCAGCCTTTAGTTCGTAGAAAAAACTTTTCCCACTGGACCAATTCTAAGCCTGACTGACAAAATGGAAGACCCTTAAACTGGAATAACTGTTTGCCTTTCAGAACTTTCTTAGGCTAACTAGCAAGGCTTGGATAATGGGCCAGGGATAATTATGGAGTTTAGTTAGGCTGAGGTCAGAGGCCCTGGGGACAGAGGGGGACCTCATCTATTCTCTCAGGTATCCACAGGTAAGCACTATGTTGTGTGCACTGAATGTGACTTCATTTTGTTGTTGGACACACAACTCCTATTTATAATACTGGAAGTGTATCATAGAAAACATCTCTATTATGCTATGGAAGGAAAATATCTGCCTTATATAGACATAGTAATAGAGAACTATCAAAACAATTTTATAAATAGGCAAGCTTCTCAGACCAGGCAAAATGAAGTTTTAACTCATTTTCTCTAACACCATTTTACTGTTAACTGAGCAACTCTGTTTAATATACTGGCAATAAAGTACAGAACAATTCATAGTTTCACACAGACACTAACTCACGAGGATAATTTTGTTTTCAAACAGGAAAAGAGTTCTTAAAAGCCAATTATTTACAACTGTGTTTAAAACCTTTTAAACAATACAGAAAAGAGAAGGTGTTTTGAACAGTTTCCAGTTCTGCATGGTAGGTTTCTACATTGCAAAAATAATTTGCTTTACAAATTATAACTAATTTTATTTTGCACAAAGCCTTAAAAAAAAAAAACCTTGGCACTTTATATCTTGGTCAGTAGGAAAACAGACTTGTACATGTAAGATACTGTGTAGTTTCCCATTAAATATCTCTTTAAGATACCGAAGAGATTGAGAAGAAACCCAGTAATGGCAAGAGATTGAGAAGAAACCCAGAGTAATGGCAAAATCATTAGGTAATCCCAGAATGGAGTCTCCAGTCAGAAGAAAACCTATTTCTAACTCTGATAGTAAATTTAATCTATTAACCTACAAAGAAATCATTAGCATGGAAGTTAAGAAAGAGAGGCAGTTGGCTTATCCTCAAGCCTGAATTTATCTTAGGGTTGAATAAGTGGAATAAAGAACAAAAGCACACATTGGCTTTTTCTGCCACAAACTAAGCAAGCCAAAAGAAAGAAGTATCAAGAAATTTAAAATGGTACCTCCTAAGACTCCATCAGTCAATCCAGAAACTTCAATAGCAGTAGTGGGCACCAGCAAAGAGAGAATTTAACAATGCAAGGAAGGAATAACAAGCTTTAGTTTTTGAGAGCGCTATAAATTTAAGCTTGATATAGCAAGTATACATATTTGTGTCATGTATAAATGCACAAACATATACATGGATTAGCCCAAATACACAGATTAGCAATGAAAAAAATGTAAAAAAAAAAAAAAAATCAACAGGTGGCTGTGGTAAGAGTCTGCATCAATATCTGGTTTCCGGTGAATTGTATAAAAAGCATAAAACTCTGAAGTCTCAGGGAACACTATTTTAAATGCATGACATTTGTTCCTGTCCTTTATACTATGTACTGTATCTATAATGAAACTGGACATCCTGGAAAGGAAGAATTCTCTACTTATCATCTATATGCACCCAATATTATGTTTCAAAGCTGGCTAGTGTGATCTGATTCTAGAAAAATACCATAGGTGAGGTAGGTTAAAAACAAAGCTAACCAAAAGCTTGAAAGTAATTCCCAAATTACAGAGAATTCAATTATGTGTTTAAATCCTATTTCCACTCAAGTGTGCTTTAGTGCTCACTTTATCAATAAACTTACACCAGGCTAGTTGGCACAAAGATGAATTTTTTCAAAACTTATTATTTTATTATTTAGTCCTAAAACTGCTATTACATTTAAAGAACAATTTGTATTAATTTGCATTCACAACCTGATTGTCTAGCAATTGAGGAATAATGTAACTTCTTCAAAATATATCACACTGCTTTCAATTCAAAAAGTTACCAAGAAGGTCAGCAGAAATTATTTTGCAGCTTCATTTCTGCTGTCAGAGGCGAGCATGGGATAAAGTCACCTACCTCTAAGGTGAACGACAGCACCACATCGGACTTTGACAGCTGAATCTCATTCTCATCGCCTATGTCCAAAAATGCAGAATTCTGTGAACGTTTTAATTTTTGTAATTTAAATTCTGGACCACCTTTCGAAACTGGAAGACTTTCCAAATTGGCCATTAGCAAATTCACTGAAGACCGCAACTCTTCTATATACATATTCTCCATTTCTTTTGCTATAAATTTGGGGAAATTTCTTTCCTTGAAAATAATTTAAAAAAAAACCAATGTTACAAAAGTCATATTTCAATTTTATCATAGAGGATTATATGATGTATATCTTTGACTGTCTTAGAAATTATGACACTCAATATATACGCACCTACCCAATACTTTAGTCTCCAGGTTTTAAAATCATCAGGCTTTGGCAATTTTGATTATGTCTAAGAGTACCTTACATCCCTTATTCAGAATCATTATGGTACAAAATGAATAACATTTTCACATTAACTATTTTTGATAAGACTTGCTTAAGGAAAAACTGAAAACCTACATGAAAGAAAATTTAGTATCTAGATAAATCTTAATTAGTCACTGTTAACTTTGAATTGCTTGGGGTAAACTGGTTGGTAAGAAAAACATTCAGTATACACTGCTTTGCCTGTTAGGAAACAAACAACTTAAACATTTTTCTTACCAAAATGTATAGTAAGAGGATATCCTTTTTGTAAGCATTCAAATTAAAAAATACATAATAGCAATATGATATTTCTAGAATTTTCATATCACACAAATGTGACCAGATCCCTTATGACCATAATTTCAGTTTTTTAGTAAAGGTTTAGAAAATTTTAAATTTAAAGCAAAAGGCCAACTTATGAATAAAGCTGTATATAAAAAAGAATAACAATATCAATTTAGAAGATTCATTTTCTTTCTGAATTACATGAGCATTGCCATTTGATCCTTAGATCGCTGTAATCAGATTTTGGTTTCTTTCAACTCGATGAAAAGGACATACCCAATACTGGTATTTAGACAGATATTGACAGATATGCCAAACTGCCCTTAAAGATGATTGTACCTATTTATATTCCTACCAACAGCAAAAGGAGGCCTTCTCACACTGTTGGCTCTTTCATAATCTTTGAAAACCTGGCATTAGCTCTTCCCTTAAAGAGAGTTTATAGCTTTATGATATGACGTATGATGTAATGTGTTGACTACCATACAAAACTGGCTGGGAATAAAAGCCTAAAGCAACCACCTTGCAAATGACTGCTTAATGCTCCAGAAAAATTAGTGCCTTTCTCAGAGTTTCCCTTGGCATCATTCCAAGTATAACCTAAGAAATCCCCATCTCTGGGATGACTGGAACCCATCCAGAATGCTCTCATCAACCTGCACCCAACCTGTGACTCACCTGCACCAGTTTTTTCATGGGATGGAAAGCAACATCTGGTGCCACTTCACAAATCAGTCCCAGAGTCTCAGGCCACCTGTTTCTCTTTTCCCCAAATATAACTGTCACATATTTCTTTTAACATAATTTACATATAATCAATACTAAAATTGCATATTTATTATCACATAGTAATTAAGTATCCACATTCATAATTAACTTTCTTAAGGAAGACTCTTAGGTATCCTTTTAACATTCCTCTAGAGTGTGAAGCAACATTCCAAAAAAGTTTGCAACTTCAGGAAAAACACATAACTCTTCAGTTACAGAATACCTTGGTTTCCTTTGGAGAAAAAAAAGTCATGTTTTGGAATGGTTTCTCAGTGCATGTAAAAGAAAAAAACACAAGCAAAATAAGCCATAAAAAGATTTTTATATTTATGCACTGCCTTTATTTTTTTATTTAAATTCAATTAGCCAACGTATGGTACATCTTTAGTTTTTGATATAATGTTCAATGATTCATTTAGTTGTGTATAACACCCAGTGTATGCACTGACTTTTTTTTTTTAAAGATTTTATTTATTTATTTGAGAGAGAGAGAGGGAACACAAGCAGGGGGAGTGGGAGAGGGAGAAACAGGCTTCCTGCAGAGCAGGGAGCCCAATGCAGGGCTCGATCCCAGGACCCTGGGATCATGACCTGAGCCGAAGGCAGACGCCTAACGACTGAGCCATCCAGGCGCACCTGCACTGACTTTAAAAGCTGTTATGAAAAGTATCCAAAACCCAGAAATGAGGCAAAAAGGTGAGGGGGCAGGTCCTTTCAATGTCCTATGGGGGCAAAGGGCATCCGAGGGTCATCTGAGGAAATATACTTCGTTTGACTTACTGTTTATTGATTCAAAGTCCCAACAGTGAAGTTACACGTTAACTTACAGACAGAATTTTGTCTGGAAAAGATGCAAATAACGTGTGTCTGCTGAGTAAGATAATCCAATGGTTATAGTTTAAAACCTCACTGGAAATTGACCACTTTTAGATCTAATCCAGGAATCTTGTTTTAACCTTGCCTAAAACCACCTAGTTTTGATATGCTCTTTGGATTAGTTTTAACATGTAACTAGTTTGCTCATTCATTATGCACTGAATGAAATCTTTATTGTGTGTTTATATTTGTAGAAGTCATAATTTTGCCTTTTTAAAAATTTTACTTTAGCAAAGCAAAAAAAAAGATCACGTTTGAAAGTTTGGATGCACCAATTTTTTTTTTCAAAATTTTAAGGTGTTATTTTATGGAAAACTTAGCATTAGCACATAAAAAACCAAATTCTTATTTAGCTTTAGTTAAAAACACATCATTCACAATCATTTTTCAAGGAGACTGGCAGGAATCACCAAAATTGATGGTCTAATCAGCATTTTCCAACTTTTCAAGAAATAGACTATACCCAATTTTTTTCCTCTCTGGGGGAAAAGACAGACAACTCTGCTTTAAAGCTCTGAGGTTTATTAATAGTATTTCATCAACTTTATTTAGCCTGCTTATGTTGCCTCTTCCTTGGAAACAAAAATCAACTGTACTTCAGGCAACTATACATGTTAAATTTAATCTGTTAAATTAGAACAGACTCAGAAATAGGGTTATTCTTTAGTTTAACTGTGAGTTGTTCTTATAAACCATGGTTTAAATGTTCTAATTTACTCACTCATTAGCAGCCCTAACACATTATATACATGAAAATGTTTGTTCCATAAAAAAAATTCTCAGTATTCAAATTTAGTCCCTTTTAAGTGCTTCTAACCTTCCACTAGATGAAACCTGGACCAGACTGGTAGGTGGAAGATGGGGACAGCTGTCAGATTCTAGAAATACTCTGAAGGCAAATGCAAATGGATTTCCTAATAAATTTGTCATGAGGCACAAGAAAAGGGAGTCAGAGAGATGATTCCACGGTTTTTTTTTTCGTGTAACTGACAAGACAGTACTGTCAAGAATTGGCCTAGCCTGACCACTTAACTGGAAATTTTAAGCACCCTACACTCCTGATTCCACCTTGTCTTTATTTTCTAAACAGCAACTGAACACCTTCCATAATTCAGTTATATGGAACATTCCTTGCTTATTGTCAGCTCTCCCAAATGCAAGCTCCACCAGGGCATGGCAGGGATATTTTTGTCTGGTTTTATCCCAAGACAACTACACATTTGTCTGGATGTATCCCAAGGGCCTACAACATTGCCAGGTTATTTTAGTAGGTGTTCAATAAACATTTATTCATTGAATTTATGGATAGAAAAATTCAGGCTCCAAAAAGTTAAATAAACCTGCCCAGTGTTCTATATCAAAGGAAACAGCAATCATGGATTTGCCTACACGTTTTTCTGGCCCAGTCCACATTTTTCCTACTACTTCCTATAATTATGCCTTGGCTAAAGTATTAAAGTCAATACTTCTACGGTGCCTGGGTGGTTCACTTGGTTAAGCGTCTGCCTTCGGCTCAGGTCATAATCTCAGAGTCCTGGGATCGAGTCCCGCATCGGGCTCTCTGCTCTGCGGAGAGCCTGTTTCTCCCTCTCCCCCTGCTCTTCTCTCTCTGTCAAATAAATAAATAAAATCTTTAAAAAAAAAAATAAAGTCAATACTTCTATCCTTTAAAACAGATTTCTGCCCTGGGGTTTTGTTGTTATTATACTGTGCTGTGAAGTATGATAGGAGGTGTTACTTATTACCAATGATTATTAATGGACCACACTTCTGGATTTATCAGACTGAAGAGGCAGCTGGGGGCCCAAGAGAGCAAAGTCAAAGACCAGGGTTTGAAGCCAGCCGCCACGTTATTTGTTACGTAATCTTGAAGTCCGTAATCTTCCCTAAATCTCAATCTCCTAGTCTATACAATAGACACATTGTATCCTCTGTCCTTAGGGGTTCATAGGATTAGTGTAGAAATATAATGCAACAAGGTCAGTAAATTATAATTAGCTTTATGAATTTTTTATGAAGATGGCTTACACTTGGTGAAACTGAATTAGAAAGCAATTAAACATGTTTTATCTCCTATGTCAATATACTCACCAAAAGGCATGTTATTTTTGGTGGCTTTTTTCCCCTTCCAATTCCATTGGCTTCACTTCCTTCTCCACACTTTTTTAAACGTACCAATGTTTGTGATGACATCATTGGGGTGCCAACAAAGAGAAGTCTATGTGCATCACTCACCCTTTCCTCTCAAGTCCAAAGGTGATAAACCCACATTTTCCTCCCAGGCATGAACTTGAGACAACCAAGACTCTCCCTCCTGTTTCACAACCCTCCAGAAATTCATCTAAACTTTACTCTAAAGCATCACATCCTCAGCCAGGCCCTTAGAGAAGCAAATCCAACTCATTACAATATGCATACTCTCAGTGTATCTATATCTATATACACCTAGGCAATCTACAAATGTGGGTCACAGATCCAGAGTCCTGCCCCACAGGGTCTGGAACCTCTCTCTGGAGTCTCTTCCAGTCTCAGGTCTTCAAGAAAAGCAAATGTCTTTCCAGCCAGTTTTCCAATTCAGCTAAGGGTTTTGGGGAAAATGCTGTCCTCTCTAAAGCTTCCAATAGCCTTAACCTACTTGACTTTCATCCTATAAATTCGACATCTGAATCTCTACAAGGATGTAGTGCCTCCCCAGATATCCTGAGGATAGTAACATGGCATGTTGCCCTTTTAACCACTGTTCTTTGTGTGAATGTAACTCTTTAGCCCCTAGTTCATAGCACTCTATGTCTTCATTCATCTGGAAATTCCTCTTCATCTATCTCTGGCTTGGTTCTCACAACTTACTGTCATCTCTGCTACCCAAATTTCTCTTAATTTTCTCAACTTTCCTGTTTATCTCCAATTTCTCAACAATTTCCCTACTTTTTAATATACTTTTAGATAACACAGTATTAGCATTCTGAAAACTTACACATCATTCATAAATGCATTTTTCTTTGCAAAAACAAAAATATTTCAATTGTTAAAATCAGCATGGGCTGTATCTTCTTCTCAAAGGCTGGAAAAGTTCACTATCATGATTTGGGAGGTGGTTAACATGGGCCATGTACACATACATTCACTGAGCTGTAAACTAAATATTTGTATACTTTACACATCATACCTAAAATTTAAAGAAATGAAGAAAATTCCCTCAATAGGGAGGATTATTCAGAAAGATGGAGGGAGGTAAAGGAAGAGTGTACCTCCAAATATTCAAAGTTTTGATTAGCAGAAGGGAAAAGAGGAAAAAAAAATCATACCTCAGATTAATAGCACTATAACTTCAAGCCTATTGGGAAAGCCAATTTTCTTTTACCACTAATTTATGCATCAATTTACTAAAGAATGATGCAAATAATGAAGTTCCATGTACTCTAAAAAATATTAAGCATTAAGAAGAAATTAATGGTTTTGTTTAAAACTTATTCCTGTTACATAGAAACACAGTGACTATATGAATAAATTATATTGAACACTATCTGTGAGAGTCTTTTACTAGAAACTTCCAGTTAGATTTTTCATCCATTCAAATATTAGTTGACTCCACTATGTGCCAAGCACCATGTTGGATATCTTGGAATACGTGATTTTGCAGAGACAATGTTTTACTCCCTAATTAGGTTATATTTAGCACAATATTAAAATTCTTCTAAATGTGGCCATTTGAGAAATTCAGGCATTGCTTTCAGAATAATCTACAAAAGTTATTGAGTTTAAACATGTTCTATGTGTAAGGAAGGATATGTAAAATAGATAATATGCTCCATTTAGATAATACGCACTCAGATATTTGGGCTTAAGAAGCATGCACAAAGAGAAGAAAATGATAAAATTATACTACCTATACAGAGCTTTTTCAGCTCGCAGAAATAGGAGTAAAAAGAAATGTTGTACACTATGTCAAAGTTAATAATTTACCTTTGCCATTTTCTCTGCCAACTGCAAACGACCATCAAGTTCCCTTCTGATCTGGGCTGCTTGTTCATCTGCATTATCCAGCTTTAAAATAGAAATTACACATACGTGATTATTTAATGACAGTGACCTACAGATTAAAGACTTAAGGACCCAATTTTTGTTTTTAATAAATTCTCTCAGCTACCTATTGACAACACAGAATGGCAGTCCAATTCAATTTCTTGGGCACTTTTCATTTTGGTTTTGTTCACAAAAAAAGTTATTAAATTGCTAAGGGTAATAGCTCAGTTTATCAAAAATCTAATTATAATAATTCCTTGTCCAACCTGTCCGCAACAACTCTAAAACCAGGAAGTCCTTGTTTCCTTGAAATTACATTAAATTGTCTTTAAGCTTATTCCGTCCATCCTTCTGTCTTTGTGAAGGTCAGCCCTAAGTAGTTCCAGATAGATAAATATCTTGTTTTGTTCTTTCAAATTTCCAGAGTGGTGAGATTCTGAATAATGTTTTACTTCTTTTTCCTTTCAAAAAATATTCCCTTTATTTTTATAACAAGTTTGTGTATTAGTGCTAAACTATAAAAGTACCATTTGATTAACTGATAGAACTTCCTACCATTTAAATCTTCATATTCTCCTCACTCTAGTATCAACAGCCTCATGCTGCCAAGAAACCCTTCCACTCTCTTACAGATTGGCACCACATTAGAATTCCATTCTCTTCTGCTAAATTTGATTGAAAGCAAGAGAAGCATGCTATCATCATTTTTAAAGATATTTACATGGAAAATTACTTTCACTTATCCAGTGAAATCATCTTTCTTAATATAATTTCTTTTAACTTTTCCTTATGATTCCCTTCCCCCAATTATTGATAATCAATTTCCTTTATTAGTTCATTATAAAAACTGCTATATTGAGGAGGTCCTATGAGCCATGCACAGTGTGGGATGCACTGGGTGGACTACAAATGTTTCTCATGACTTTAATTCCTTTCCCTTTGTTACTTCCATCATAAAGAAACCCGGGCCACACAATACAACTGTAGTATAATAAAGGTGCATCTTAAGACTGGATTAGTATTGAGTACAGCATTAAACCACCCAGGAGAATACAGATTAACTTTTCTATTTCCTGAAGAACTTCAAACTGACCAGATTACATTCTTTAAAGCAGCCTTTAAAAAAAAATGCCTGAAAAAGATGAGTAGAGGCAATGCAGGTTGACAGGATGGTGGTGTCAGGACATATATAAAGAGTCAAGAAATGGGGAAGATGTTCTAGTAAAAGAGCACCAGGAGTTTGGAGGTGAGATGAATACTTGTAGAAATGATAGATATTGGGGGGCGGGGGAAGGTACATGGGAGATGGGGCTAGAGAGAGGCCAGCTACTTCATAAACTACTCTTCACAGCCACAATAGGGCATCTAGAGTTGGTTCCTACAACAACGGGAATTCTTTGAGAGATTTTAAACAGGATTTTGGAAAGATCACTTTGTCTCCAGCACAAACAACAGATTAGAGGGACATAGGAAGTCTGACATTTATTCATTAGAAAAACAGATCTGGGGTTACCTTCCTAAAAAAAAAAAATGTTTCCAGGTTGATTTAAAAAAATCAAATTCGTTTAAAAACAGCCAAGATTTTTAAGATTTTATTCATTTATTTGAGAGAGCGAGAACGTGCATGCACGAGCAGGGGGAGGCACAGAGAGAGAGGGAGAAGCAGGCTTCCTGCTGAGCAGGGAGCCCAACACAGGGTTCAATCCCAGGACACTGGGATAATGACCTGAGCAGAAGGCAGACACTTAACCGACTGAGCCACCCAGGTGCCCTTAGCCAAAATTTTCTTAAACTAAATCACCGGTAAATAATTTTCTATGTCATCTCAAGAACAAACACAAGTTAATTAATAGGACGCAAAGTCAAAGAAACAAAGTTTCTCTTTACTGTGTTCAAAGTCAAAATGATTTACATTAAAAACTAACAAAATTGTTAAAGAATGTGTGGCATATCTGTTCCAGGTGACTGAAATCAAAGTCCTAAAAGCAAAAATTATGTGTAAGAACCTGTAACTACAATACTTCATTTACACTAAATGTGTAAATGATCTCATCTTTGCTTAAATGCTGATATCTTTCCATAGAAAAATTAAAATGGTTACATGCATGTAAGGAGTTCTAATTCCACTAAGAAATAGTACTTAACATCTGAAAACAGAAGGTCATAGTTCTTCAAACTTCACAAAACACTAACATCTTCAAATATTATATCTTCATATTAACAGCTCTTAATTTTAAGTGAAGTTATTTGACTCACTTCTGGATTTTGCAAGTATTTTCTTTGTAAGAGACATTTTCTACTACTTCTGAAAAATATTAATACCCTAACTGCATTTCTCTGAAAAAATGTAGGCAGAGAAAAGCAGAACATTGCTGTACCAAGTAACATTTGAATAGCCTTCTCTTAACATTTGAATAGCCTTCTCTTAATTAAATTTTCAGAGATTACTAACTTTGGTGACTGCTGGTATCATTTTGTGAAACTAGAATTGCATACTTCCAAATGTTAAAAAAAAAAAAAGCTAATAAAAACAATTTTTTTGGGCGCCTGGGTGGCTCAGTTGGTTAAACGACTGCCTTCGGCTCAGGTCATGATCCTGGAGTCCTGGGATCAAGTCCCGCATCGGGCTCCCTGCTCAGCAGGGAGTCTGCTTCTCCCTTTGATCCTTCCCCCTCTCATGCTCTCTCTCTCTGTCTCATTCTCTATCTCAAATAAATAAATAAAATCTTTAAAAAAAAAACAATTTTTTTTATATCCTTGTGTAATGTAACGCTAGATAGAATTGAAGGAGGTAAATCAGTTGGTTAACTATTTTTTTTTTTTACATGTAAGAATGTTAATGTCCCATGTTTTGGGGGTTTTGTTAGAGATTTATTATTTTAGAGAGAGAGCATGCGTTCAAAAGCAGGAGGGGGAGAAGAAGAGGGAGAGAGAATCTCATGCAGACTCTGCTGAGCACAGAGCCAGACTTGGGGCTCAATCTCATGACCCTGAGGTCATGACCTAAGCTGAAACCAAGGGTGGATGCTTAACCAATTATGCCACCCAGGCACCCCTTGTTTTCTTGAGTGTTTGTTACTTTTTTAAAAATTAATTGAAAGCTTATATAATTATGTTTTCTTAAAAGTTGACTTCTCAATTGAAATTAGTTTCACATGCAGTTATAAGAAATAGATACACGCATTATACATGCCTAGTTTCCTCCAATGGAAGCATCTTACAAAACTGTACTATTATATCACAACCAGGATACTGATTTTGATATAATCATCCATCTTATCCAGAGTTTCTCAGTTTTATGCTTACCATTTGTATTAATCTATTATTTATCTAATTTATCTAAATTCATATATTTACCACTACGGTCAAAACACTGAAGAATATTTTTTAAGATTTGAGAGTGCGTGCATGTGCACACACACGTGAGCATGTGTGAGTGAGGGGAGGGACAGAGGGAGAGAATCCTCAGTCAGATTCCCCACTGAACACAGAGCCTGACATGGGGCCACAAGACCATGACCCAAGCCTAATCCAAGAGTGGGATGCCCAACCGACTGAGCCACCCAGGTACCCCAAAACACTGCAGACTTTTAACACCATATGTTGCTCTTTTATAACCAACCTCCTCCAGCCAATCCCGTTGGTTAGAAGATTTAATAATGTACTGCTTTTCAAAATGTTTAAAAATAAATTCTGATAAGGCAAATGGATTTTCTTTTAATTTCCATTATGAAACTGGAGAGGTTAACATTTGTAAGTACTGGATGGGGGCCTCGGATCTCTTAATCCACACATTCACCACCTGGGTGCTTTCCTCAAAGCACATGGTCACAAACAGCATGTATCTATAGCTCCAACCCTTCAGAAGAGTTTGATTTACATTTCCAACTGCTTATTTACCATTTCAATTTGCATGAAGACTAACAAGCCCAAAATGCAATCTTGACTTCCAGCTCCCCATACCAATCACTCCTTCGATGAATAATGCCATGTCATATAAATAGCACATCTATTCATCCAGTTGCACAAGCCCAAAACCTAGGTGTCATCTTTGGCCTTTCTTTTCCCTCACAGCCCACATCCAATCCAATCTAGAGTCATGTAGAGTGAAACCTAGATCACATTATTTAAGCAGACTGCAATTCAGGTACTCTGAGTTCTTGGCTAGGACTCTACTTTTTTTATGGTAGAGGGTCTTCCTGGCCACTTCAAGTAGATCTCCTTTCACCAAAGCAGGTGTACATATGGTTATGGTGCAAGTAATGCTTTTTCTTTTCTGAACCCTCCAGAGAACTTGGGTTTTTACACCACCTCCTCCATCTCCCCCTCCACAAAATCAATCAATCAATCAATCAAGCCTAGATGGTTCACAGATGTGGGACATCAGATTTTAAAATGCTGGATAGCACCTCTGTCTCTAGCGCCTGATTTGGGGTATGAGATAAAGAAAATGGAGATATGTGGACTCTGGAGTCCATGGTAGGGCCCAGACGCAAGCCTCATTCTATGAGGACAACCTCATTTTCTTTAAATTCTTGATTTGAACACATTGTGACAATAGATTACTTACCTCACAGATGTCCTTCCCTGGCACAGAGCATGCCCAAATGTATCTTTATTCTCCGCAATGCCCCTAGTATCTAGTGTACAGAGCATTTTCAATTACCAATTAAAAATGATCAATTTCAATTAACACTTCAAAATCAATTACTACTTCAATTATCAAGATATTTTTCTGGACTGGCAAATATTTAGCATAGGAAATGTACTTTTATTTTCCTCCTGTTCATTACATAGGAACTACTGTTTCCACATTCAGAATCCTCTGTCACAGAATATTTTTCACATCTTTTTTTGGTAAGACTTTATTTATTTGTCAGAGAGACAGAGAGAGAGAGAACAAAGCAGATTCCCCACTGAGTAGGGAGCCCAATGCAGGACTCTGTCCCAGGACCCTGGGATCATGACCTGAGCCGAAGGCAGATGCTTAACTGACTGAGACACCCAGGCTTCCCTATTTT